CTCCAGGTGGGGTCCTAATTTAGGTGACCGGCGACTGCCCAGAGGACCCCACTCAGAGCGCCGCCCACCGGAGCAGCAGTGACGCTCATCTTCAGCTCAGCGCCGTCCTTCAGTGCCGGAGAGCAGCGGCGAGTCAGCGCTGGTCCGGTGGGAGGAGCTCCAGGTGAGATCTTAAAAGTGACATCTAAACAAAGGAAAAAGTGATCTGGGAAGCATAAAAGTTGTCTATACTTCCCAGATAATTAAGGACTTACCTTAAATGATGCCTCTTGATCTGATCATCTTCTTCTTTCCAGTAGTTTTCAGGATTTGAGGATTACCTGCCCTTGCCCCCTCCCGTTGCATGCTGTGGTTGCACCCACCTGCTGGTATGCATTGTAGTGACATATGAGTTGGAGAGAGGACAGCATGTGGTAGGAGGAGCATATAGTCACCTACCCAGACATGTGAAATATTGCATCAGTTAGAGAGACATGGGCTACGGGAAAGGAAAATATACACTCACCGGCCACTTTATTAGGTACATCTTGGTAGTACCGGGTTGGACCACTTTTGCCTTCAGAACTGCTTTAAAGGAGAACTATGGGGTTCTATCTTTTTTTTATTAATGCATTCCTTAGGCTAGATAAGTAAATATGCCTTACTGTGCATTTTGGCTAATTACAGTAAATTACATTATCTACTTATTTAGCCTAAGGAATGCATTAATTAAAAAAAGATAGAACCCCATAGTTCTCCTTTTATTCTTCGTGGCATAGATTCAAACATTGGAAACATTCCTCTGAAATTTTGGTCCATATTGACATGATAGCATCACGCAGTTGCTGCAGATTTGTTGGCTGCAAATCCATGATGCAAATCTCCCCTTCCACCACATCTCAAAGGTGCTCTATTGGATTGAGATCTGGTGACTGTGGAGGCCATTGGAGTACAGTGAACTCATTGTCATGTTCAAGAAACCAGTTTGAGATGATATGAGCTTTGTGACATGGTGCATTATCCTGCTAGAAGTAGCCATGAGAAGATGGGTACACAGTAGTCATATAGGTATGGACATGGTCAGCAACAATACCCAGGTAGGCCATGACATTTAAACAATGTTCACTTGGTACTAAGGGGTCCAAAGTGTTCCAAGAAAATATCCTCAACACCATTACACCACCACCAGCATGAACCGTTGATATTGTTGATATGAACCATGTGATTGGCTGATTAGCAATTTGTGTTACCAAGCAATTGAACAGGTGTACCTAATAAAGTGGCAGGTGAGTGTAGATTCTCTTCTTTTATAGGCTGTTCATGTAGGCAATAAAGTCTGATCAACAGACAGTGAAAGAGCAGCAGCACACTAACAAGCTAATCCCTTTGATCTCTCCACCTGCAAGCATGTTCCCTGTAAGTAATAAAGCATTGATTGGCTCAAAGTATTGCCCCTGCTTTTCCCATTCTCGGTGCTGCAGTGTTTATATAAACATGAAAATTGCATAATCTTTGTAATGAATACATAACTGTATAAAATTGCGTTGTAATATCTGCCTGGAGTTCAGCTTTAAGAGGATAACTTCCCAAAAATGTCTACATGTCTATGTTGCATTATTTGTGCACCATTTGGCACAGATTTATAGTAATTTCCCACACTGTGCTAATGATTTGAAGAAAAGCAGAAACTAAATTACTAGGCACATTTGCAAGCGAATGTTCAAATACATACCGCAGGACTGCAATCCTGTGTATGGAATATGGATATTACACCAGGAGCCGCGGAGGGGAAGGAGCGATCGTGGAGAGGTAAGAGCAGGAGGAGAGGGAGAGAGGGGGTACATTGGTGGGGGTAATTTTATTTTCCAAAATTTGCCTAGGAAAGTGTAATTACCCTTTAAGGTAGTGGGTAACACTTCTGCGTTATAGCTGGGGTTATTGTTTCAAATCT